GTGTTTGTGTTTGGCGATGAGAAGGAAAGAGTCAAGTTCCACTCCCTTTTGACAGGGACGGCGCTGAATCATGACGAGAGAATTATGTCTGATGCGCCTCTCAAGAGCTTTATGATATCGCAAAGCCTACGTGAGCCGACTGGTATCATGTCTTTTAGTCGCATGCCTTGGAAAGCCGCCAGAGTGGTCAACGACGAGTTCAGCTCTAACGGGGACCTGCCGCCCACAGTTCTGGCAGACAGACTCAAAGTTATCCTGGAGTACCAGAACGGCACGGTTGCGGACAGAGTTAACGTCGCCCCCGGCGAGCTGCGAATGCGGCTCGAGGTATCAAATACATGTCTATTACGTGTTCTCCGCCAGCCGCAGCAGGATATCACCATGTCGGTCTCAGAGGCGCAAGTGTCAAAGGAACTTCCTACAAACCTGGCAGATGCTCTGCAACTCCTTAAAGCAAACCAAACTATTCGCTCATACGAGTTCAATAATTTGAAGGATCTTCACGAATTCCAAACCTCCATGACTGGATTTGAAGTCATATTTGACGCCATTGCAGCGACTTTTGCCATCTCGAGAAGACGTATGGTCGTTCCCATTCACAAAAAGTGGGAAGCGGGCCTTTCAAGAATCCAAGTGGTGAAATTAGAAGATAGACAACTTCAGTTGCTGGCGTTCTTCGAGGACTTCCAGCACGGCCACTGTATGAACTTTGTGCTCAAGGGCACGGATGTTTACGAAACCTTTCAACGAGGAAGCAAAGCCGGGCTCAGGTTTGTCGACGCCAAGTTCCCTTTACCACAGCTATCCGCAGACAAGGATTCGGACTATGATGACATGGCCTTTGTTTGTCTCGATCTACCAGATCTCCCTGGTGAACATGATGACATTTCTATCATGTTCGAGAACGAAGCAGGTAAGCACGGATATTGGAGATTTGCGCATCATGGCATAGGCATGGCACTGACACTAGCATGCAGATCGAGACCTACTTTGCAAATGCCTGCCTGCTACCCCCAAAGGGTCATCGAGAATCTCATCTCGATTGAGGTGAAGGAATGACACCTCCTTCAGCTACATACTGAGCAAGCTAAGCAAACCAAAGTGAAGAATCACTATTTAACAAATGACGAGTATCGCCAAGAGAGACGCATAAATTAACATGATCTGCGAAGAGGCACCCTTGTAGCGCAGGCAGCAGCTACTTAGACGAGAGGGTGAGAGTTTGCACGAATACCTAGTGTTGATTTCCCAAAGGATGGACGAATAACTAGATTTGAGAACAAATCAGCATAGGCCCACTTGACTGCTCATCATGTTCGAGACAGTCGGGCCAGCGAGGCGTTGAAGCGGAGCATTTGAACAACGACAGCCGTTACATTATTCCAATACACAATTTTTTTTTTCTGTACAACGATTGTAACCAATGGGGCAAGGGGTCTGTTGAAAAATACTACCACAAGTAAGATTTTGACTTGTGCTGTGCCGGGGTTTTGGGACATGGGCGTTTATTATAGGTTTAATCCGGAGGTGCATAATGGTTGCACGCAACCTCAGGAAAGTAGTAGTGGCAGGGACTGTTGATGGACATGCGACACAAAAATATCCGTGTCAAGGGCCATTCCGTTCCCTCAGCCAGACTGTAGAGGTTATAGAGGTGATGACCAAGTCGGCCTCTGGAAAACGAGTAGTGGCTTATGCTGTCGCAGTACGGCATTCACACAAGCGGGAAATTGGCTCATTCCGGAGCATCGATCTTGGAGCAAGAGCCAAGGCCGGCCCAGACAATATCAATGTGGTAGGTAGGATGAAGATTAGGCCCTGGGTCGGTCAGCGGAACTGGGCTGCATCTCAACAAAAGCACGGGGGTTTTCGGGGTGCAATAGAGGCAAGGGTAGCAGTGTTTCTATTCGCGGAAGAAGCACTCGAGGCTATTTGGTTGGCTGATTTGCAGAACGAGGTCTGAACGGAAATGGAGGGCAGGCTGCGAGGGTCTCTGAAGAAGGGTTGGAAGAGGGGCTTGGTGGTGGTAGTCGTGTCAGGTTCTAAGTAGAAGGCAATCAAGTGTTCACTGAACCGTGGACATTGGACAATGCACTAGAGATTTTGGCTGCATGAGGGAGACATGGAAGCATCTACATGACAGGGAACAATGGGCAGCCGTCATCAGGCCTATGGCAATCTGCCGTATTCCGATGATGGGCCAGATCCATCGGGACGCAACATGGGACATGGAAAGAAGCGGGAGCCCTTGGAGTCAATCTGACTGCAAAATGTCGTGCACTGGCGGGCGGGCATTCAATGTCGGGTCGTGAGACGTTACACCAGCCCAAGTACTCCGTAGTCCGTAGCTTATTCCCCAGACCAGTTCTGGCCATGTCGAGTTGAAATGTTGACGTCGATGTCGTTTGATCAGTCAAATCAGGCCTATGCATGGGCAAACAAACCCCGCCCCCACTAACGAGCTGACGTTATGGCGGGTGAAGAAGGCTCGGTGTTGAGACTGGGGTACGGAGGAGCACGGGCGAACAAGAGAGAAAACTAACGACGACAGTGTCGTTGGTCTACGAGATCCTTTCGAGTTAGCTTTGGCTGATGATAGAGTCAACCCCTCAGTTTGTCTTGGCCAACCCGGAGGACTAGACATGTGCAAGCGTTTGTCTGGCATTCCCGAACCCCCGGCTCAGCACGGCATCACGATGCGCTTGGGGCCGCCACTGAACTTGGGGTAGCTTCGCATTTGCCGTGTTTTTGGAGACTGGCAGAGGAGGTGACGACGGACTAGCGACGAGGTGGCGGGCGTGTGCGTTGAAATGTCCCCAGCGTCCCAATGTGATCCATGGTGCTTGTATTCCCGTGTTGCATGGAACTTTGGAGACCAGTACTCCGTAGAGTGTAGTGTAATGTCATGCGGCGGCGGAATTGGGCCTGCCTGGCCATTCATCTGTGAAGCTGCGCGAGAATCACAGACCAGTCAGTCATGGAAGTCGTGAGGTCGGGAGCCATTTCGGTGGTAGTTACCTCGGTAGGTATTGCAAGTGTGACATGGCTGGCTGAGCTGTGTACTTGTATGTATGATACGGAGAGCATGGCTTCGTCGATGAGGGGAGGGCCCAAGGTGGTCAAGGTCAAGTTGCTGCGCGCGTGGAGTAACAACTTGACTCAACTAGACGCCGTGTGGGTGCATGTGGTTCTAACATTGAAACATTGAAACATCAATTGATCCGCAAGGGTTGGCAAACGCTAAACCCGCAAATGCAGTAGCTGCCCGCTGAGCTTGTGTCTATCGAGTCCACCAGGCCGGACCGATCCATTGACCAGTTGAGTCCACCACTTCAGCTGCCGGCACCGGGTTGACCTTTTTTCTTTTCCGGCCTCGTGCCTGGTGTCCATTCTTCTCCTCCCTCTCCTCCCCTTTATTACCCTCGCACGCCTTGTATATCGCGTTAATGGGTTGACTCTAGACACCATCGTCCTTGTTTACGCTTACCACCTCCTAGTGCCCATCCGCAAGCCCGCCATTTACACATGAACCAGACCGGCCTACTTGCTCCGTGTCTACTTACTTAGAAGCAGGTAGTGACGCAACTCGTGCTATCCTAGCATTCTGTCCCACGGCTCCCTGTTCCTTGTGTATACTACATACATACTTTGCCTTGTTCAGCCAGGCCTTAGCCAAACGGCCTTCACACGTGGCCACGGCGAGATTCATAACTGGGGAAGCTCGGGATACGCCCATACTCAATTCAAGTACAGAGAACAGACAAGCGTGCCTCTTGGCCCACGCCCAAGCCACAATTGAGAAGGACATTGTTGGACTCGTTGACATCTTGGTCTTCTTCAGACCATCCAAGAGGAATACACGTGTAGCGAGTTGCACGGATCTCGGGGGCGACCAAGAACACGAGGCGTATCTCGCGGATCGGGCGGTGACGTTTCGACATTTTGGACTTGACCCTGCTTATTTGCCACCCACAATACTAGTTAGTTGGCGTGGTGGACTGGCCCTCGTGGTGCCTCCCGAGTTGCCCTGCATCGAACACAAGCCGGCTTTGAGAGTTGCCTCGGACAGAGACTTTGGGGGAGCAAACGGCACCTCTTTGAGCACGTTGATCATTCCGGTTGTTTGGGGATCCAGGTGCTCTGGACGACACAAAATACATCGGCGAGACACGCAGAAAGGCGCATTCCCCTGCGGCCAACGGAATCTGGAACGCCGACCATCTTTGATCTGGCTGATTGATCCGGGACCTACGGGAGCAGCCACAACATAATAGTAGCTGCAAGCTCGAGCTTGTCCGTCTGGCAACATCCGCCGCCAGAGCTCCACGAATCCACGACTTGCCGCCGCCGCCGCCGGCCTTTTCCTCTCGTCTCAGCTTTGTCTGCCTTCGTCTGTCGTCATGGTCCTGAGTGGCTTGGGGGGCCTGGTTTCGGTGCCAGGCCGACGTCGCGCCTCAACTGCTGCTAGTGAGTCGTCTGTTTCCAGCGTTGCATGTCCTAATCCAGCTTCTGCTCCCATTCCGTCCTGCCGCCTTCAATGTTGCCTGTGCTGCCGCTCATGCTAGGCTTGCGCATGGTTTCTGGGTGCTGTTTTTTTTTAAAAAAAAAATCAAAAAAAATCTTCAGCCATTAATTTTCTCGCGCTCTCTGTCTGTCTGTTTTTTTTTCAAGTCGTCTTTCATTGTTTGTTTCGCTCGCTGGTCGATCCCCCGCCCTGCCTCCGTCTTACCTCTAGCTTTGCTTTCCTGGACCCAACATTCAGGTCTCACTCGCACTTGCCTAGTGGCGCCTGGCCGTTCCTTCTTAAGCTGGCCACCTCCAGTGCGCCCGAGTCTCTGACCCAAAACCAAGCAGCGCCCTTGGCATCACCACAGACAAGACCCTCATTACTCGCGCAACACGTTTCCACAGTGCCACCCTGCTTTAGACTTCTTGGTCATCCGTCTTTGTGTTTCTTGTCCCTTTGTTCTTTGGTTTTACTTCTCACCTGCCAGACCGCCATGTTTTCTAACTGGCGCTCGCAACCCGAAGGTAGCGGCCATTCCTCCTCCGATGACACGAGGGTCGGCGATAACGATCAAGACACCCAGGTCATGGAACCTGATCAGGGCAATGGTAAGGCGATCATCGCGATCCTCTCGATCCTCAACTTGGAACCCTGCCAAGCTCGGCTGCCAGTCCTCGCGCCTCGTCTACTTGGCAGGCTTTCCCGCGCCAAACTGTTTAGCTAACCAGGCACAACGTAGTTCTGTCCCACATCATCTCACAGTTGCGACCTGGCGCCGATCTTAGTCGGGTCGTCTTACCTACTTTTATCCTCGAGCCTCGAAGCATGCTGGAAAGAATAACCAAGTATGCGTGTGCCCGGACTGCCCCGTGGTGGCTCTGACGAGCTGCGACCAATGTCGTCGCTATTTTGTTTGCCCGACTCTTGCTAACCGACATACGCAGTTTCATGTGCCACCCGGAAATGCTTCTTCAAATACCCGAAATAGACGATCCTGTCGAGCGCTTTGTTTCCGTTGTCAAGTTTTACCTCAGTGGATGGCATATCCGACCCCCGTCAGTTACCCCGCGACCCCGCGGCGCTTATCGTTGAAGAGACATCGTATCGCTAACCAGGCCATCAGAGGTGTCAAGAAGCCACTCAACCCTATTCTTGGCGAAATCTTTACCTGCTACTGGGAGCTCGGGAACAACAAGCGAGCATACTACATTTCCGAGCAAACATCGCACCATCCTCCAAAGTCGAGCTACTTCTACATGGCCCCGGACTATCACATTCGAATCGACGGTACCTTGAAACCGAGGAGCAGATTCCTCGGCAACTCTGCTGCTAGCATGATGGAGGGTGTCGCATACCTGAGCTTCTTGAATAGAGGGAAGAACACAGCAATTGGAGAGCAATAGTTAGTCATGATGCGGCTGCCATGTTGAGATCGGACCACTAACAAAGAGCTTTTAGCATTTTGACCCAGCCAAACATGTATGCTCGCGGTATTCTGTTTGGAAAGATGAAGTATGAGCTCGGTGATCATAGCTTTGTACGATGTCCAGAACTGGACCTGACCGCGGACATTGAGTTCAAGGTGAAGGGCTGGGTCAGTGGTACATACAACGCAATTGGCGGAGTTATCAAGCGGGAAAGCACCGGCGAGGTTCTTTATGAACTGTCAGGACTCTGGAGTGATGAGATGTTCATCAAGGATGTGCAGGCAAGTCCCTACCAGCGGGATAGCTCCAAATACACTAAACCTGCTAACAATCACTGCAAAAAGACCGGCCATAAGGACATGTTCTTCAACGCCATGACGTCTAAGCCAAGCTCACCAAAAGTTCGACCCTTGGCTGAGCAGGAGGAGCGAGAATCACAGAAACTTTGGGCTTCAACTGCAAAGGCTGTCAAAGAGAAGAATCACGAAGTGGCTACTGATGAAAAGACCAAGATCGAGGACAGGCAACGGGAGGAAGCCGCTGCTAGAGCACAAGATGGCGTTGATTGGCATCCGCGTTTGTTCCGACGGGTCAAGCCTGGCGATGGTGTTGGGGATGATCTCGAATGGATCATCCATACTCCAGTGTAAGCAGAACAAAGGAAAACACTCACTTATAACCCAGCGCTAACATGGAGCAGAGACCCAACGACGTCCCCCGAAGAGCAAACTAAACAGTTCTTGTCTATCTACCCCGTAGTTGATGGGCAAACCCTGGATGGCGACTTCGCCATTCCACCTCGAAAGGAAGCGAACGGTCAAGCGGAAAAGAATGGCGTGGCAGGTGACCTTATTGACATTGGTGGTGATGACCCGCCTACACAGCCAATAACAAACAATAAGTCTACTGAGATTGAGAATTTGCTAAACTCGACGGGAAAACCGGCAGAGGGCGCATTAATCGATTTTGCCGACGACATGAAGAAGGATTTACCAGCCGCCGGCGATAAGCCTTAGAGATGCTCATACGTCTTGATTACTACCACGGCTATTGAATACATGGGCTAGGGCGTTCTTGGCTTTTTTCTTTTGGTCTACAGAATAAAAATAATGACTGGGGCGCATTCCGAGCATATCGCGGACGCGAAGGAGTCTTAGAACAGGCTACATGACGATAAAATAGGGTGTCATGCATGATTGCGAAAGTGCCCTGACAAGCATGAAGGCATGGGCCGCAGCGTGCACGACAACGAGGGGAACACACGAAGTGGCTTCAACACCGGCACGACAAGAGAAATAAATACTATTTAGCCTTGTCGGGAAACTTCCGATTGGATTGATCTTGTGGAGGTACATGACAAGAAATCGTCAGCGTGATATCAATTCAGATAAACAACCCTGGAATATATATACCCGTCCTTTTTTAACGCCAATATATGTAGTACATTTTTTTGCCCTGGTGAAGCCATCATAACAATCCCCTTTAACCCTTCAAGTTGCCACATGAAACCAATGGCAAACGAAAAAAAATAAAATAAAAATCGAATAATAAAAAATAAATAAATCGTGGTTCCAAGATTTATCGTCTCTTGGACGCCTCTGGCGTAGGCGACCTGCTCATACTCCGCTCGTCCCGACCCCTCAGTCTCAACCACTTCTTGGTGCTAAGGGTCAAGTCGCGGTCCAGCTCCTCGCTCGGGTTCTTGCGGTGAATAAAGTTGCAGAAGCCGCCGCGGACGCAGCCCTCGCCCGAGTTGAGGCGGCAGCAGGCCTCGCGGAAGTCGGTGACGGGGCTGAGCTCGCAGTAGATGGGGCGGCCGGCGTACCAGCGGGAGTTGAGCTCGTCGCAGGCCTTTTGCGCGGATTCCTCGTATTTGAAGCGCGCGTAGACGTTGCCGATGAGGTCTGTCTTTTTTGTTAGCATATCTTGCTTCTTCCATTCTGTTGTGAGATGTTTGCGAAATCAATCAGCGCGCCATGGGGGGAGCCCTTGGATTGAAGAGGGAGGGGGGCCCGCTCATATACGTACGGTCGTTGTTGTTGTCACAGACGACTAGTTCCTCTAGCTCGCCGTACTTGCAGAGCTCGCACCAAATGTCTTCGTAGAAGGCGTCGAAGTGGTTCTGCAGCTGCGACGGGTTCATCCGGTTCTTGGGGTCGTACGCCGGGTTCTGGTAGAGGTTTGGCATGAGGATCGTCTGCGAGTACGACGGCTTGACGTGTTTGCGGGAGCAGCGGTCGCCGTGGCGGCAGGCGCCGAGGCTTTGTTTTTTTTTTTTTTTTTTTGGCGATTGGTGATGGTTAAGGGAATGAATGTGGTCGAGGGACGTACAAAGTAGAAGGAGCAGTTGACTTTGTCAAGCTCGGTGCCAAAGATTGAGGCTAGAAAGTTGGCCATTTTTGAAGTGAGGATCCCCCGATGGTTTGGGCGACGGTTTGGGGGGGAAATGTGTTTGGGATGCTGGGTGTTGAACTTGTGAAGCTTGGTGATGGAGATGGCTCTTGAGGTACAGGATACCGAATGACTTTGGGGATTGGGAGCAGCCTTGCGCCACGCAGGCTGGGTCACGTGCGTGGCTGATTTGTAATGTTGTCTGGATGGTTCTGTGGCGGTGCAGCTGCCATTACTGACGCTCCTGGGCTGGCGAATTGACGCGGCTACTGTCTTGACTTGCGGCGCGCCCACCGGACATCATTTCCAGCTGGGCAACTGGGGTCAATCCAACTGTCGGGGTCGGTGCGGCGGGACCTCTTTTGCCTCAATGTGATTGCTTCCCCTTAATTGCCGTGGTAAAGGTCACTTTTTTGCATAAGTGGCTCGTTCACTTAGTCGCTCACGGGTAATTGATATAACTTGTCCAAGTAAACCCCAACGAAACAAAACACCAGCCTGGCAGCATCACCACCGCCGCCACAAAGGGGGTGGGTTGGATTTCACCTGCGACGGTGCCGTGCGAGAGTCCTCGGTTCTGCCTCTAGCTACCATCGCAAAGGATGCTCTACCGAGGACGGACACCATCACATCATACCGGTTAAGAATCGAGAACTTGCACCCCAAACAGTAATCATAGCCTACCGTTGACATTATTGCTCCCGTATACCACTAGTACTCGATATACGAACCCGACGTTTACAAGCCATTCGTCGTGGTGGGATTTGCTCACCATGGATCAAGCCGACATTCCTGCGCTTCTGGCGCGGTTGTCCAGCGACGAAGATGCCGCGCGCAAGATGGCAGTCTTCAAACTCCAGACCTCCATCAACGACCCTTCTTTTGCCGACGTCTTCATATCGTCTGGTGGTCTTGTCGTGCTGCGCGGCCTAATCATGGAATCTGGAGGCAACACCTTGGCTTACTCGCTGCAGAGCCTCACGCGCCTCCTGGAAGTCGACATGGGTTGGGACATCTTCGAGGGGCCGTCCGCAAGCGCCTTTGTGGAACACGTCGTCGAGCTCATTGTCATTAATCCGCTGGTTAATATCCTCCGTGGAGCCATGTCGATTCTCGTTGCCCTCGTCAGCCATTCTCAGTCCAGTCCGCCCGCGAGTCCCAGCCCCGTTGGGTCGACACCGGGCTCGTTTGGATTCCGCGCCCTCAAGCCAGCTGTTGCTGTCTACCCGCAGTTCTTCGAATTGGTTATCCAGCAGCTACAGAGTGCTGACCATGCGCTGTGCGCCAATGCCCTCATGCTCATCAATGCCCTCATCCGCGACTCCATCTCGAACGGGTCTACATACTCTAGCACAAACGGCAGCACAGGGAGCGGTGGCGAGGACTGGGCAAAGTTGGTAAAGTGCCTGCAGGATTTGGGTCTCATCAAGGCCGTGCACCAGCTCATGCAGAGCTCCTCAATACAAGACCTGGCGCATCCGGTATTGGAATTCCAATCGCTCACAAAGGTGCTGCTGCGGAAGTGGCGGGAGGTTGTTGTTGACCTGGACCGGCCAGACCATAGACGAGCATTGAAGGGAATCCATCTGGCCAGCGCGCCAGAACGCGCCGTCAATGGACATTCCAAAGACGACGCTGCAGAAGGCGGCAAGAAGGATGGCCGAAAGCACAACCCCGAGAAGTGGAGGCGGCTTGGCTTCGAGACGGAGAGTCCCGCGCATGAGTTTGATACTACGGGGTATCTGGGCATGATGGACCTCACAGACTATGTCCGGAAGCACGAAGACGGGTTTCAAAAGCTGTTGCTTGAACAAGCTACAAGGCCCCTTCAAGAAAGATGCCCGATTGCAAGGGCCAGCTTAGCTGTAACCATCATCTTGTATCATCATTTCGAGGTCGATGGGGTCGAAATGGAGGACAGCAAGGGATATCAGGGTTTGGATGGGAAAGACCACGATAGATTATTCCGGCCATTGCTGTTGCAGTGGTCTCGTTTACACGCGGCCGGCTTATTGGGTTTCCTGCGCATATGGAAGGCCACTGGCGCCGAGTCGGATGACTTTGAAAAGGTGGCAGAGCTCGTCCGTATCCTCATTGAACAGGTCGTTGGTCGAGCGTCCCGGACAAAGGATATCCTCGAGGTGGAGGACGATATTCTGGAGTACGATATTGCGCAGCTTCGAGAGCTGCAGATGGAGCTGCTGGAGCTTTCCTTCGACGACACATGGGGCCAGCACCTGTACCAAGTGCGCGAGACGCTCAAGCAGGAGGCTCTGCAATTCGTCAAGGAGCAGCGGGTGCGGTGCCTTCTGCAGGGCTCGTGGTTCTGCAAGCCGGCATCTCACAACAAGGGCCGGGAAGATGCAGAAGAAGCCAAGGCCGTCTCGCCGTGGCGTTTCGCCAAGCTATCACACAACCGCCGGTACTTGCATTACGCAGACTTTGAGGAGCAAATGGCCCAGGATCCAGGCCTGGACGTGCTGACCAACAAGATGGACTTGGGCACCGTCAGCTCCGTGGGCTCCAACGTGTCTGCAACGGACGACAGGAGAAGCCACGCGAGTGGCTCCACGGTACAAAATCTGGCCAGCCATTCCAAAACCACCACCAAGATCACCATGTATGCCGGCGAAGTCAACGAGCACGGCGAGGCTGACGAATACCCCATGTTGACATTGTGGCCTACCAGCCACAGCCTAGCGTCGGAATGGCTCGACGGTTTGCTCATGCTGCTCAACCAGGCTCCAATCACTGCGGAGACGAGCAAGCTGATCAACTTGGTGAGCGAGTACGGCCTGAAGATTCGGTTGCTCAACGTCCGCATGGACTCGGCGTTTGAGGGGCCACCTCCAGGCGCTGGAGTGGTGCCCAGCCGAGCAGGACTTGACGAGGACTACTTTTTTGAGGTGTAGACTACAAGGCACAGGTCTACTCGATGTGTTACTTTTTTTTAACGGTCTGTATTGACTGATTGCTTGGTGGTGGTCACGCCGTCGTGCATTTCTCATATACCCCCGCCTTTGCGTTGGTTTCTGAGCGGGAGGACAGGTTGCCATGCATGGGAGTATTTTCCGGTCATTTTCAACATGTTAATATGTGGTTTAGGGCAGCATGTACGAGTACTCTGTTTCAATAGCAACACAATACCCGAGTTTCCCGACCATGTGATGAGCCATGTATACAACGCCAGAGGTGGTAAAAGTTGACGAAATCGAGAATCGTCGAGTCCCGCGATATCCATGCAGAGCTGGGGTCATCTCCACATAGTACATATGTATGTACTACTCCGTACGTGCTAGTAGTAGTATTACCGGGGGGACCGTTGTCCTCGGCTCAATAATCATGTCCTGTGTCGCCGAGCCCAAATGGCAAGTCTCTTGCGGAGTACGGAGCACCAATTGATGTGTTCTTGGTTGGACAGCAGTCTTGAGGGCATTGTTTGGGCATCGAGCTGCTCCGCGTAAAAGCTGGTCTCAGATGATGTCACTAGATCCCTGCCTAGGATCCTGGCCTTTGTAATGAGAAGGCGTGTATGGGCTTTGTGATGGATGTGTGAATTACCGGGTAGCTAGTAGGCATGTCTAGTATCAGCTAAGATTAACCTTTCTCCCTCTCTGCCCTCATGGTACGTTTTCTGCTTGTGAAGGCGGATCTTGCCTACCGTATCCGAAAGGCGGAGTCCCAGAGACAGGGAAGCAAGGGTTGATATTTCTGTTTGTTAATACAGAACTGCCTAGGTATGTACTTAGTACGTATAGGAGAAGCGAGGAGGGACTTGTTCGTTCCATCAGGCAGGCATGCAGGCACTTGACGACGACCTGCTTTTGATCTCGCGTCCACATGGATTGTTCCAAGATGTAGCTTACCGTGCCCTTTGTAATGGGCAGCTTGCATGACATTGGGCCGGACACGAGAGCCCAAGTAAAACCAGTAGACCATGAAGGCTGCTGCTAGTGCTGCTTTGCGTTTATGCCAAAGGGCACTTGGTCAATGTCAATTGGAGGCGGTGACGGTCGCCGTGCTCGAGCGGGTGGCAGCTTGCAGCGTGCATGAAGAGTGGACGCTGGGTGGATTAAGCGTCTGGCTGTTGACTGGCCTGTGTCGGCGTGCGGAGCAGAGCGCGAACAGAAGGAAAAAAAAAGCTTGGTCTCTGGCAATTGCCATCTTCTCCGGACTGCTAGGAGGTTGAGTTTCAATTCTCTTCCTTCATTCTTTCTTCTGCATACTCTGGGGACGGAAGGATGTGGTCTTTCTTGTGCGTCTTGCACGAGATTTAGGACTTTGCCATCAATTGATCGGAAGGAAGTCAGCAGTATTACCTTCCCAGGTGGGTGTTCCCGTGCCCAGGTTGCCAGGTACCCAGTACTCCGTCCATCCCTCGCTGAGGACGCTGGAGCCTTGAGCACTTCAGCTGCTGGTCGGCCTGTGCACTGCCATCTGCCTGGCTGGGCCAGTTTGAGCTCAAGGTATGTCGAAACCCGTTCCGCCAGAGGTCACGGTTTGAAGCCGTCGTCACTGGCCAACGACCTGTGTTCCTGTCTTGCTGCAATTGGCTTTGGCCAACCAGACATTGCACGACTCGGCCTGCGCTGACTTTGCTCTCAGGCACGGAGACCCTCGGTGCCCAAGTACACAAGCCACTCGCGCAGCTGTCGCCAGCTGCTGACTAAACCGTGGGGACGCTGTCACAGTGGGCTCCTGCCGGGCAGGTAACGAAGCACCAGCCAGTCAAATCGCTGCAAATAGGACAAGTCTCCGGTACACCGCACGCCGTGCGCCGTGCTCGTGCCAGGGACGCGGCGAATGACCCGTTGTCGCCTTGCCCGCGAACTTTAGCAGCCAACTTCTTGCATTCTTGCCCCTGACAAGTACAAGTGACCAACGTCCAGCATTATTTCATTATTTCACAGGGATCGAAAAAAAAAAGTTTTGGACTATCCTCATCTTACTCCGACTCTCACCGGCCGACCATATACTATCTCTCTGCGTGCTTTGCGACAGCTGCCTTTGTTTCTCCAGCTAGACTACCTAAGTTACCAGGTGCTCCCTTGCCGCCCTAAAATCCCTTGGTATGTTGCAAATCTCATCCATCCATCTCCCTTGTCTCGAGGATCTCTGCACCCCTTCGACGAATCAGACTCTTCGCGTGTTCCTGTTTCTGTTTCTGTTCTTGATTTTGAAATACCAAACACCCTCTTCTGGCCTCTGAGACGGGCAGCTGTGTACCGAGTACTCTTGCGGCAACTCGTCGCGACTTGGGCATTACGTCTCAAACTGAATCCTTTACGATAGGGGTGGAGCTCCGGCTGACGTCGCCTTTTGACAGTGACATCTAGGCACCAGCGAAATACCTTCATTTTTATTCCAACTCTCGGCTCGTTGGCAACTCGTTGAACCGCTTTATTCATACAGACTTTCAGCCACACCATTCATCACGTCACAATGGCTCGTATTCAGATCCCCCTCGACGCTCTGACGTCGCGTCTGAACTTGGGAGACCGCTTCTCAGGCTTCACCTCTGGCCCTTTGACTGGTCGCTTCGCCAACTTGCGGCCCATCTCTGAGTTTCTCGACTTCAAGCGACTCTCCAAGCCCGCCAACTTTACCGAGATGCAGTCGCGCGTCAATTACAACTTGAGCCACTTCTCCAGCAACTATGCTGTCGTCTTCTGCATGCTGAGCCTTTACGCTCTTCTGACCAACTGGCTCCTCTTGTTCGATATCATCCTCGTGGTAGTCGGTATGTGGTTCATTGGACGCCTGGACGGCCGCGATCTTGAAATTGGCACTTTCCGTGCCACTTCCTCGCAGCTGTACACGGGCCTTCTCATCGTCGCCGTCCCCTTGGGTCTGATTGCCTCGCCATTCTCGACCCTGCTTTGGCTGATCGGCGCTACCGGCGTGACTATTCTTGGTCACGCTTCACTTCTGGACAAGCCCATCGATGAGGCTTTTTCAGGGGAGGCGGTCTAGGTGGTCGGCCGCGAGCTCCCAAATTTGCGCCCCAATGGGGAAGACCATCGAGGCGCGGGCGGAGGAAAACTGATGGGGATGCTGCGCACTATAGCTCTAGGGTGGAAGAGCTGGGGACCGAAGGGGACGAAACAGATGTACAAGGCGGTAGGTTGGCCATGCGGCGAGGCACTCGTTTTGTGAGCGATTCTCTTCAATTTACGGGTGTGGATTTGGGTGATCGGGACAGTGGCACGTTTCGCCGCCGACAGTTTGGCGCTTCGGAAGATGACAGCGATGCGACTTCGGACGAGAGTGATAGTGAGGGTGACTCGGATGATAGTGAGGATAGTGAGGACAGCGACTATCTCGATTTGTCGGGCTTGAGTCCGGAAGAGAGGGAAGAGGTCCTGGTTCAGTCGGCGATGCAACGAATAAACCAGGCTCAAGCCACTGGCCAGACCGATGTTCATCTAAGAAAGGAAGAACTTGAGGCTCTTGCACAGCGACGGAAACGTATGGAAGAGGAGGAGCGAGCGAGACGCAAGAAGCAGCGCCACTCGGGAGGCGGGAGTGATCGAAAGAAGAAGTCGGAGCAGCGGATAGCCGTGCCATTGACACAGTTCGCACCGGTCTCGCGCAAAAAGAAATCGTCACTGCCGGCATCAATGGAGTTTCCCCCAAGACAGGATTCCCTTCCGCGGCAAATAGCAGGCGGCGACCTACCGGCAGATGGTCGTGACCGACAAGGATACCCACCCATGGGATACTTCCCGCCTCCTTCTGCGTCTCGTTCGCGACCTCGCTCTGGGACAAGCTCATCGCAACGGCCGCCCAGTCGCGCGCGCGACGAGTACGAATACAGCTCCTCCCGACCACGCTCATCAGTGGGCTCTCTCCGGGATACTCACCTTGATCCGTTCCAATATCAGACAGCAGGTCCGCACGCGCCATACCCCCCGGGCGCTGCAGCTGCTTCTTCGAGACGGCATGCGTCGGGACCTTCCGAGGTCATGCATGACCAACGTCGGAGCACGGTGAACCCCCCCGCAGCTAGGAGCAGCCACGGGTCCAGGCGAACCAGCTACGGCGGGGACACCAGTGACGCCCACAGCTCAAACAGCGAGGACAGTAACAGTGATGGTCGTGTGCAGCCGCCGATTCGGGAACCAGTTAGTAAGACCAGGGAAAGGGGTCGGAATTCGACAATAGTCGTGGAGGAGTCGCCTGAACGTGTAAGGAGTAAGAAGAAGTCATCGTCGCCAGTGAAGCGGAAGCAGGTTGCAGGGAAGAAGAAGAAGAAGTAAGCAAATAATCGGTGGCGTATGTCCGCATGATACCTAATCCTGAGAATACTTGTAATTGAACGCATAAACTGCAATGTGTGGTGCCTGGGTGTATGTCGTCACAAGCTATCCCGTGCGAGGGCGATGGATACCTGTGAATGCAAGAAGCAGTGGACAAGTGCGGCCATGACAAATGAAGCCGAGTCGGGAGTGTAAACGCAGCAAAATAAGAGAGTGGAAGAGAGAACAGGTTACGCGACTCCCGTGTTGGTTGCGGTCCGTCGGCGCATTGCCACGACACAACGACTAAGTCGACGTCAATATCAATTGAACCTACGGAGTACCGTGTACGGAGTATGCCTGGGTACCAAGGTAGCTCCGGAGGACGGAGAACAGCTCCGCCAATCCCTCGCCCGTCGGCAGCCACTCGCAGCCTCGGCTCTGCCCGCAGATCCCTGTCTAAGCTCCCCCCCTCCTCCAATCAGCTGCCTCACGACCCCAAAAACCCTTGGGCCAAATGTACCCAAAGTTGTCAATTAAACCGACTCGACCTCACTAGACATGCAACTACCTGCTACCTTCATCAACCATCACCACATGCCACACATCCAAGCACAAAGCATCAACCGCAGACACCCGAACACCGACGCCGCCGCAGCAAAAAACGAAGCATGCCGCGCCCCCAATCGCCCAGCCGGTCCAGCACAGCCAGCGGCCCTGGCGGCGGCTCCGCGAAAACCGCAACCAAGCGCCTCCTCAAGGAGATGGACACATGGCGCAAGGAGCAGAGCGACGAGAAGGGTATCGAGCGGCTCGGCCCCATCAGCGACGAAAACCTCCTCGAGTGGGAGAGCGTCATCAACGGCCAAGGCGTGGGAGCAGGCTACGACGGCAAGGCGCTCCCCCCCCCTCTCCTTTCCCTGGAGTTCCCTTGGGGAAATTCCGCGCCCTTTTCATGCTAACAGGCTTTTGTCCAGGCGGACGCTGGCTCGTCTCCATCTCCGTGCCGCCGACGTACCCCCTGCAGGCGCCCAAGATGCGCTTCGTCACGCCCATTGTGCACCCCAACATTGCGCTGCAGACGGGCGAGATATGCCTGGACCTGCTCAAGGACGCGTGGACGCCGGCGTACAGCGTGCTGGAGTGCGTGCGCGCCGTGCGCATGCTGCTGAGCTGTCCCGAGACGGACAGCCCGCTCAACGTGGATGTCGCGGCGCTGCTGAGGGGCGGCGACGTCGTTGGCACGCGGAGGCTCGTCGAGTGCTGGTGTGCCGATGATGGGGGGAGGTATGACGGGCCGTAGGGGTGAATGGTGGCGCTTGGGGAGCAGTCATGAGGGTTGGCTCATCTGTGATTTTGTACTGGGCCACTTGTGCGATTCTGGCCTGGATGAAGGGATACTTGGGTTTTTTTATATGTGCTTGTTTTCTTTTCTTTTGGAGTTGGGATAGTCGCCGGGATTGCCAATGACAAAATTGTATATTGAGGCGAGACTCCTCAGAATTGCATGCGGGCATGGAATTTTATTGGAGCGATGCTGTGCGCTTCAAATCGAATTCATTGTAGGATATTTGGATACAAGAGGAACGCACCATGGCCGGCGTATTAGCACAAACACTATATGAATATCCGCACGCGGAGTTCAAGTCATGTCAGGATGAATTTACTACGGTCTATCCCAAAACCAAACCCTTCGCTTCCCGCCCCTCCAAAGGTCGTGTGTATCTTATAGACATGAAAAAAAAAGTAAAACAAATAGTTTAAAGAAACACAACTGTCATGTGAAGAAAGCTCTCAGCAGTGGAACAAATCCACCGCGCCCGTACTCCTGCCCAACTCTAAAGGGGTTTCAAAGTAGGAAATAGTAAAATATTCCCCCCTTTTTTTTCTTTTGCCTCCCAGCGACTTTTTCTTCTTCCTCTCCCCCCCCTCTCCATCTCTGCTAGAAATAATAATAGCAATAATAAAAAGATGCTACAAGAACGCCGCCACGCCGCCAATTTGGCCTGCACTCAGACCAGGGTTGCCAACGGGATGCAGTATATCAACTTTCGTTCTTTTTGATGACGCTCCTTGATATGCCCGAGGACGCAACCTGCACATAGCCATGAAACAGGCCTCTTGGAACTGTGCAGGAAATTCCCATCTATACGATATTCAGCACGGAATGAATTTGTCTTCCTCGGCTTCTCCTTCTGCTGTCTTCTTTACTCGTTATAATGGTAAACCTAATTCAAGTCAGTCTCGTCGTTACGCCACTTCAACTGACGCCGTGCGTACCTTGTAGTTGGGGAGACCGTAAGGCTGCCATCCTAATCTCTTGGCCATCTTGGCAAAGCCTTCGGTCTCAATGAGATGGTAAAAGGAAAACGGGGGAAACATGGCGCCGTCGCGGTGGACATCGGCCTTGACCAGCAAAGCAGTCCCTCCCACGCCGTCAAGAGGAATAGCAAGACTCTGGTCACCACCGTCGGTGGCCAGGTGAGCCATTAGAGTGCGATATGTGGCCATTTCGGGGTATCCCTCGAGCAAAATGTCGTCAGGACCCATCTTGGAAGCCATCTGCATAGCGATATCACTGTCTTGCCAGCTATTGTAATCGTATGGCCGTTCGTCCATCTTTTTCTTGTCGTCGTTGTAGAAGCGCTGGAAGCAGTTGGGAACAATGACGTCCTTGTTGTGCTGGGCAAGATCTTGGATCAAGCTTGCTGGAGTCTCGACAACGTCAGAGTCGAGCCACAGGACCCAGGAAGTCGCAGGACCCAGAGTGGTGAAGAGCAGAGAGTTGCGAGCCTTGGCCATGACTGCCCTCCTTGGCTTCTGGTTGGCCATCTTGTGGCGCTCACTCTCATCCTGTGATTCAACGGCTGGGTCAAAATCCTGGCGCAGGATGATGATGCTCTTGAAACGATCCTTGCCCGGGCCGCGCTTTTGGGTCTTCTGGATCTGCTGCTGCAGGGCGGCGGTGGCAGCATTGCCCTCCTTGGTCTTGGGGAGGATGAAGCCGAGGGTGATGAGCTCGTGAGGGTAGCTCAGGCGAAGCAGATTGTCCCAATACTCCTGGTAGAAGCGCGCCATTGGTGACAAGATCAGGACATGTTCTTGGTTCTCGATGGGATTCGCAGTAATTGTGACATTATTAAGGTTGTATCGAATAACGGGCGGGGGGCCGGTCTGCAGACCAGACTTGGAAGAGGACTTCTTGTACGGTGAGGTAGGCGGCGAGAGGTGATGCTGAGCTGTGACGGAGGGCAATTTGCTCGGCGTGGTCTTGGTTGAGGGAGAGACAAGAAAGAACAGGATGAAGATGCAGAGAACGAGGCCAAGAAGGAGAGTCAAGGGATTCGCCTTCTTGAGGCGGACTGACCCCATGGGTCGAGCCATGGAGGCTGTATCTGCGCGGGAACAGGAAGAACCAAGAAACTACGCGCCTAGTCGTCTCGATGTGCGTTGAGATGGCTTGGAACGACGCTGGGATAACGTTGACGGATTGCGACAAAACGCGGCGTGGCCTACGCAGATGACAGGGGCATCAAGCAACGGCAGCCAGTGCAACCGGCCAGGACACGCAATGAATTGTGCGGTCGTCGAACGGGTCGGCGCAATGTGTCGGGAAACAAAAAGAGGCAACAGGCAGGCTGCAAGCCAGCAGTGAAATGAATTGTGGTTGTTGATGCGAGTAATAAGGGACTGGACTAAAGGAATCATCAAGCGAAGCGAGCCTGGGAAAATAAGTACGAGGCGATGCACCATAGAATTGAAGCCCGTCCCAGCGGCGCGCCCCATAAATCAGGTACCTCCTACTCAAGTACCGAGCTCCAGTGTCTGACGGGCTGGCCTGGTGGTCTGGTGGTTCTGGTGGCCTGGTGGTCTCTGGTGCAGCTTGCCCAGCCTCCTGGGCCGTACGTCAGCAACAGTCTGGTGCCATGCCAGCATCAGAGTACCGCACATCTAGGTACCTCCTCAAGTACTAGGTGCCCTCTCAGCCCGCTGCATCTTGACATGTGGCCATTCTGGGTCGGCCGTACCGACTAGCACCACCCAGGAACGCCCTCCACTGTACAACTCGGGCAAAAACTGGGGCTTCTGTTCCTCTGAGCTTCGCCAACGCCGATCCTGGAGACTCGCCAGGCTCCTTATCCAGAATTCTCCGTCCTCTTGATCCCAGCATATATCCTGTGCTGTCCTGTGCTGTCGCAACACATTGCAACTCGCAAGGAGCCCTCACTGCACTGCCCACAATGGCTCAGAATATGGACCGTGGCCTTGACGAGATCATTGCTGAAAAGGTATGTTTTTGTGCCCGACTCGCCAAAACCTCGAGCAGCCTGACAAAACCATCCAGCGAACCAATGGCCCTCGAAACCGACGCGGCGGTCGAGATACCCGCCGTCGCGACCGTAATGACTATCCCCGGGACGGGGTAAGAAAGGTGGTCTATTTCCCTTCCACTGCCTGAATCTCCAGACCCTCGAGAGTCGAGACCCTGTTGTGCTGACCTTGCCGCCTTGCAGGTTGCATCATCCTCCTCTCCTCGCAACTGTCTACCCGGCGGGTTGCCTTGGCCCGCCTCTCATTCTGTCGAATCGATGCATACAGCGCCTTGACGATGCCGACAGCAATAATCCTCTCCTAGACCTATCGCTAACCAGCTCTTTTGCCTCCCTTCAACAGTCAACCCGCGATGATCGCCGCAATATAGACAGGTCCGTCTTGTGCTTACAGCTTCTTGCGCTGCCCGAATTTCATCAAGCTAACCTGCTTTTGTAGTGAATGGGTTCACGACCGATACGATGAGAGCGGTAAGAACCGACGACGGTGTCATCAGCTTTACTTGCCATCACAAGCTCATCTACTTGTGCAGAATCTCGTCGTGGCCCCGCACCTCGACGTCGTCGCGAATCTCCAGTCAGGTATGCCATGGATCCCCAGATGCTTAGTTTTTGTACCACAGGCTGACCCTAGCCACCACAGTGACAATAAAGGATCGAAAATCCGTGCCGAGAATATCCATTACGATCTCACAGAGGAGGATCTAGATGTACGTCACGCAAAGACCATGCACGTTCCTGCAGTGCAACCTAACATGACTATAGGAACTCTTTGCTAGGATTGGTCGTGTTTCGAAGCTCAACTTGCGATATGACCGCGCAGGGCGCTCAGAGGGCGTCGCATATGTCACATATGAGCAAAGGGAAGATGCTGAGGAAGCTATTAAACAGTTTGACGGCGCAAACGCCAACGGTGAGTTTTATTGCTCCCAAACCCCCCAGCCAAGAGCGCTTCTAATTGGACTTGACAAGGGCAACCGATCCGCCTCACGCTACTCCCTTCACGGAATCCATTCGATACTGCAGTTATGCCTGGCCGTCCACTGGCGGAGCGGATTTCAGCCCCCGGTGGCAGAGCCCGCTCCACTTCCCCTCGCCGCAGACTTGAAGACGAGGACGCTGCCCGCAAGGGAATTGATAGATATATCCCTGGAAGACGCTCCAGAAGCCCTATGCCCCGACGCTCAGGTGGTCGCGGAGGACGTCGTCCTGGTGCTCGGCGTGAGGGCGGGAACAATAGCAACGAAGGTGGTCGTGGCGGTCGTGGCAACCCAAGGGGGAAGAAGACGCAGGAAGAACTCGATGCTGAAATGGCAGATTACTTTGGGGGGAGTGGTCATGACTCTGCTGCGGCGGATGCTCCGGCTAACGGTGCAGCGCCGGCCACCGAAGCTGCCCCGGCTGCGGTCACTGACGATATCGACATGATCGAATAGTGGCTGTTTTTTTCTTTTTCTTTTTGAATCACCCATGTATAACACCTGAAATGTTGATTGTTGTCGGTTTTCCGGCTTTGGCGAAGGAATAGCTCTGTTAGTGCGTGTGGAAAATTCCGTTTCGTATCTGTGTTTTTATCCAAGATCCAAGACGAGTCCGGTTCGCTGGTACACATGGCGGCGCTCTCGTACTATCCCCGTAGATATTCACCTGATGACTATTTCGGCTCCATTTCACATCATGTGTCGTTAGTAAAACTGCCATGCAATCCATGTGTATTGTTGTACTATATAAGCAAAGTCACGACCTACCTACCCAAGCCCATGCGATGCAATGCAACATTTGCCAGACGCCAAAACATGATCGACCGATCCCCCGTCGGCCACTAAGCCCAAAAACTAAAAAAGAAAGAACCTTCCCTAGACTATGGGTGCCGGCTAGAGGCGGCATATGTACATATATACGGTTATTACAGACAGATTTACACGTCCATGTCCGCGTCACGCCCTTCCGCATAACTGACCTGCTTAGCACGCCGATACTTGTTAGGGGTGCCTTGCTCTTCGCGCAATTCCTCCGGCCCAGGCACGCTAGGATGCGCTCTTTCGTACTCGGCTCGGAGGGCAATAGCCTTCTGGTCCCATTCATGGACCGTTGCATTGTACACCTGGAGAGCTGTATTATATGCCTTCTTCTGCTCCGCGGCCTGTTCCTCGTATGGCTGCCGTTGCTCCGGCGGGGTCTCTTTCCACATCTTGGACGTCATCATGCGCACTTCATTGGGGAAACTACGTGCCTTTCCTGGCTTGCGGTTCTCTTCGCAGCGCTTGCGGGCTTCTTCACTGTGCTCTTTGCTGTAGAGAAGGTAGGCGTTTCCTGCGACCTTGTTGGGGCGAAGGGGCCGCTCGCCTATTTGGCCTCGGATGTGGTCCCAGACCTCGAGTTCGTAGGCTTCGAGGCGTGCTTGCCGGGGGTCTTTTGCTGCTTCTTTGCGTTTTTGTAAGAGAAGAGAGTCCTTTGGCAGGATGAGTGGTGTAGGGACTTCGATGGGACCGAGGATGCTCTCTAGAACCTCGGAAGCCGCCCGCAGCCCAGACAGATATGCGCCGTGAACTGTGGCCGGGTGTGTGCCAATAGTGTGCTCTCCGGCAAAAACGAGGTTGCCAACGGATCGGGCCATGCTGTTATAGTCTTCTGGTTGCATCCCTGGGGCTGCAGATGAGTAGCTCCCCCTGGCAAATCGATCGGAGCCCCAGCGGGTGATTACAGACTCGACTGGATATGGAACCTTATTTCCAAATACGCCACGAAGAATCTCAGTGGCTTCCTCGACCAGGCTTTCATTATTGGAGCGTTCAGTTTCGAAGCCAGCATCCCCAGCCATTAGAGCAATCAGGCATGGAAGTCCAGTGGTGTGCGTAACATTGAACCACTGGAAGAAGCGGCCGCGATTGAGGGCGTAGTCTTCCTGTGATGTGCTGTATCTATTCGGAGAGTTTCTCAAAACTCCAAAGATGTGTCGCTGGGGATCCCAAAATATCTCATCGTAAACAAGCACAACTTTGTTCAGGATGCCGAATCCCAAGCGTTCTATCGCACCAAGTTTCCAAGCAGGCAATGCAGGTTCAAAATTGATACTCCCTTGCTTGAGGACGCCAAGGGGTACGGTACAAACGATATTGTCGGCGCTGACGCTGACGCCATCTTCAGATTCGATGGTTGCCGGGCCCTCAAAGCTTGTGCTTTGATACTTGATAGATTTTACTGCAAACTTTGTAGATAGGTCAAGGGGCGTCGGGCATTGAAGCAGTCCACGGGCAATACTTTGGTAACCGCCAATGACCATGGTGTGATTTCCTTCCCATTCATTCCCGGCATCAATGTCCCATAATTCAAGACTCAGATTGTGTAAGTTTGTGGCATTGCTGTATTCGAGGTTGGCAATATGCCAGTTGATTAAACGGTGGTCTTGGGGAGTCAAATCAACCAGATCCTTGTACCGAGTGACTCCATGATCGAGGACTGATCCCAGCGTTGAACCGCGTCGAGACACAGCATCCTCAAGATTCAGATCAAAGTCTTCGTTGGCTCCAGGCTTGAGGCTCCAGCCCATCATTCCTGCCTTCTCCGCTACCTTTTCAGAAGCTGGAACACCGGGTTGGTTATGAACCCGGCCAGTCAACTTGTCGGCTGACACGGGAACGAGGTTGATCTTTTCTGGGACGCTCTGCTCTGAAACCGACGGTGCATGCGGGAGTGCTGCGGTTGCTTCTTCTGCTTGCATTATCGTTTTGCTGCCATCCCCTGGACTGTCGCGACCTTCGTCGAGAAGGTCACGGTTGCCTTCAATTACTTTTGACGGCTGTGCTTTGAACTTGTACTCACTTACTCGGTCCAAGCAATCGTTGTAAAGCTTTTCCACTAGCTCGTCTCGAATTGGGTCTACAGGTTTACCATTGCTGTCATAAATGGTGGTTTCTGCTGTCAAGGCATGATACGGTAGACCGAGTTGTCCCCGAACTAAGACGTTGATAGGATTGCCACGCTCGAAGCCAGTTATGATCATGCCTCCCATTTCTGCTGTATGTCTTTTACCTTCGAATTCTGGCCTTTGATCATTGAGCTTTGTCTTGAATTCTCGAGAATACACCCTTCCCCCAACGCGACTTCGTCCCTCAAGGAGAACAACTTTCGGAATATCCTCACCCATATCATAAAATCTTTCCGCATATTGTTTGAAAAGCCCCTCCAACTGTCTGGCACACGCCAGACCTGATATGCCCGCGCCAATTACGGCGATTTTCCTTCGCTTTCTATCGTTGAACGTTCCACTTTTCATCGTAGGGACGTCGGGAAGTTTGACACAGCCGTAGTTAATATATCCTCTTCGAACCAGCCAGTCGTAGCAGACATTGGCAGCATCGAACCATCTTGCATTGGCGCAGCCAACTGCTTCTCGCCTCGTCACAATAGCCCATGGCTTCTGTAACCAAATACGCAAGATCGCATTTCTTATGTTTAGATATGTTGTGACTTGACTGTGAGAGATGTGATGCCGTAAAAGATGATATTCCTCAGAATTCAAGGCATACGGTTTTAGTCGAGAGGATTCTGCGGCATCAAGGCATTCAGCAGCGTGTTGGTGGACTGGAATATCGGCGGGGATCGATGACTTTGGTCGGACAGTCAAGCTTAGCCGCTCGTGGCTACGGTGGTATGTTTTCGGTACAAGTCGTTGGCTCACTTTATCACCGCGCTGGAGTTTTGAGAACTCTATCTCTACCGGAGTTGTGGCTTTACTTGAAACGAATGACGATGAAGCTTCTGACTGCTCCGTGACAGCCGACATTGACGAGCCAAAAGAATCAACCGCTGCGTCGTTGTCTGCCACTTGCAAAATCTTGCAGCCATCCGTTTTTGATACTCTGTTATCTTGCATTAGAAAACCAGCCATTGTGTGATGATATGATGCAAAGCGTGAAGGCAGGAACGCACCCGACGGAACCATCCATAGAGACTTGCTCTTCGACACCTCCTTCATCCACACATACTTCTATGCTATCGCGTTCGCGGATGGAATCCACTAGATCCCCTTGTCCAGTCCCTGAAAGCCGACCTGGCGAGCTACCAGTCACATCTCGCTGAGTCGCTTCACGTGTCGATATATTGTGTGTTAAATGAGATATCGGTTGGGATCTGAGTGATCTCGAAGAGTATACATTATCGTGATTGATGAAGGTGTCGTTAATAACACCCTCATTCCTCTCTGGGTGGCAGTTTATAGTTATGTCCATGGCGATATTACGTTAAGCCATCGACAAGCTTTGAAACTTCTCAGAGACATGAGACTGATATATATTGCTAAGGCCAGGGGCCGCCGACCGGGGAATGGCTCGCAATCAGACTCATAGAGGTGGTTACTCTGAGTTTGGCATTATGCAACAGTGTAATTTGTATGCCCCCTTCACGTGCCTGTTGAATATCGTCAGCATATGGCGGAGGTTTTCCAGATTCTAAGATGTAAGCGTATTGAAGGTACTAACCCAGAGTCTTCAATGGCAGGTCATGAGAGTGTTGCAGCTCGCTGATGAGTTCGAAAGTGGTTTAAAAAATGGATTTAAAAGTGGCACACGACGTATATACCTTCAAACAAGTATGATTGGATGATATGAACTAATACAAGGAAGGCTCAATGAAGAATTGAAGCTGTCAGTCCATTACGCCCCTCAACGACCCCCGGAAACATCGCAATGTTAGTAATCACGTGAGGGCACCGTTTCCCTCGAATCGCAATGTTGGAACTTGTGGGCCTTCAAGACGCCAATCTCAAATGGGAACTCGATGGACAACTTTGAATCGGCTCACCAACGGTGAACCCAGCAAAACTGAAAAAAACATAATGCTTCCCTGAGAACGCCAGGAGCATGCTGATGGATGTGATTAACCTCGTCTTTAACTATTATAGCGCCGCACGGGTCCGTATTGTTTTCAATAAAGGTATCGTACATATGTCGCTCACGTCAACGACGTTCACCTTCGACTGACGGTGACTCTCTTGCGTATGAGCCGGTCTCTATCGCAGCGTCCATCATCCTGTTGCCGCTGATTATGGATGTCGTACAGATGATGATGTTTCTTCGGCCTGTGCGATTCATTAGAGTACTCAATAACTGCTCGTCAGAGGAAGCCGACATACCTTCATCTTGCTTGGCTATGAAGCGAAGTGCAGCAATTTCGGTAAATGTGATGCCACCCACGAAAACGACAAACACAGTTTGCTTTGCACTGCCTCCTGATAGGAGTGCACGAGCCTTCACCGCCTTGTCTTCACCAGTTTGAAGCTCGTAGAATGTCTGCCCGCGGACATGCTTGACCGCTTCATCAAAGCCATGCCAGCCCTGACTTGTGGCCGCCGCGGCGGCGACACCAGCATTTGCAGCACTGCCGCCCTTCGCGAACGACAACAAATATTGCTTTTGCAGAACGCACTGAACTAGACGGATAGATAGAGGGGCGTACCCGCTATATACGTAGGCAATATCGTTGGGGTCATCTTCTTGAACCTCATCGACAATGAGCCGCAGCTGCTTTCGTAAATAGGTGTAGTTCGTTTTGGTACCCGTTGCCCCTGCATTACCGGTCATAGGGATCACTCCAGCAAGGGGAGAGGATCGAGAAAGGAAGAGGTGTAACTTTTCCAAGTTGTGAAGCGTCAGGAGATGTTGATATCCGTACCCGTGCAAGACAAGCTTTCGAAACTGGTCATACTCCCTTGGCTTGATGCCCCCAGAAATACAGGAGTAAATGCACAATAGCCTGAGAGTCTCACGAATAGGCGCATCCCGCGCTATGAGCTCCTCGATGCCATCGAATTGAGAGGAGGGCTCTGCACCAGCAGCAAGATTCTGCTGCACTTCTAGTAAGCCCCTGAACTCGTCGGTTCTGGTACGCTTGATTATTTCCTCAGCGATACCTGTATGGATTCGAACACTTCGATGCTCTTGCTGATACCCAGGCAATTGAGCAACAAACTCCTTGAGTTCGGCCAATGTTTTTGTCTTATGCTTGGTCTCATAGTCAGACTGGACCTGCTGCAGCCGCCGGGCAACCTTGTTGAGCATCCCGCCAACGATGGCGAAGTTGGCATCTCGTAATTGATCGTACAGCTTGTCGCTAGAGTCTAGGGGGACCGTCTCCTTCCGCCCCTGCGTAGTGGCAGCAGATGACCGAGCTGGAGCCCCAACAATGGTTGTGTCCACCTTGGTTTGGTTATTCTGAATTTCGAATACTTCGTCTATCAGACCTTCGTAGGTCAGCTGCGTGAGAAGAGGGGTAACAAAATCTACCTCACGGTCAATTATGATGACGCTCTCGTTTGTCGAACTGGGCGTTAAGCCGGGCTTGTTCGAGTCGCTCGTATCTTCGCCCGCGAGGAGTTCCTGGCGCATGCGAACTAGAAGGTCAGATATCTTCTTTGCGTTATCGCCTTTTCCAATCATTCGAGGAAATAAGCCGTGATTCTTCTGGACTTCCATCAAGGCCCTTGCCAAGAGGTAGTTGGGTGTGACATCTTTGGAGAGGTACAGGTCTTTGAAGGAATCATCTAGTTCTAGGGATAAAACGTCTCTCTCCAGCGGAAAGAAGAATAACGGGAGTTCTGAAATGCTCGCATCGCCCAATACGCCTGCTTCTTCTAGAAGTTGGTCCGACACCAAGGTGCGACGAGGGACCCAAAAGATGTGAAATTCATGGCTTGTAGAGCTCTGGCGTCGGACTCGTTTTATTTGGTCTGGAGAAAATCGCGTGTGGGTTAATCAAAGAAAGGCCTATGCAGCGGTATGGGATACGCGGCCAAGGGATGATAGGCGTACTGGCTATGTTCTCGGCGTGACGTCCGCACTCTCCTCGAGCAATGAATACTACATTATGCTGGCTGGCATCGACATTATCATTTTCCAAGACGAAGAACTTGTCGACTCCATACTCCTGGAGCGTATTGACTTTAACAATCGTTCCAACGGGACCGACTAAGCTCTTGTCAAAGACGAGATTCTTCTTGCCGCGGACCTACAAAGATGAGCGTGTGTTGAACCCACTGAAAGCTCCGAGAGCTCGCAGGAGCTGAAGGAGGCTATGACTTACGCCCTCGAGTAAATAGAGCAAGTCTTTGCGGGCCTTGGCTCGAACTTGCTCCGTACTGAACTCGGTACGAGGAGCCATGGCGGCTCACGCGATAATTCGAGGAAGCTCGGCACTGGGCAGCACTTGTCATGAACTATGATCCAAGTGGAGGCATCGGTGACGAAAAAGGCTCGAGAGCTAGCGAATTCTGCCAAGGACCCCCTCGCAGATCCCCTCGCTGAGGCAAGGCGGTGAAGACGATGGACGGCGGAGCCAGGCACCCCACGTCAAGCCAGCTTCGCATCAAAGGGCTCCCAGCTGGGGGACCTCAAGTCGACGTCATGCCAAGTATAATAAGGGCCTCTCAACCAAGAAACACTAAAACAACTCAATAGACGTGGAGGAATGGTGAATATTTTCTCTTATTTATAGTTTATTTATATATCAGCTTAAATGCATCAACCTGTTTGTGGAATGGTTGCTGATTCTATGAACGCTGGCTGGCCGTAAACCCTCTTTGTGACCTCAATGGTCCGGGGAGCAAACACAGTCATGTCGCACCAAATCAACCCAGTGACCTAGTGCTGTGCAAGATCCCGATGCCTCATGGGGCACATGTAACAGGAAGCACTGTACTGTAGGTTGCCCAAAAGAGAAAGAAGAAAAAAGAAGAAGAAAAGAAAAACAATACGCCGATCGCTTGTTTTGAACATTTGAGCCAAAAATATAATGTAATGCTTCGAAGTCAGGGCATGATTTGTCATTCGTCAACCACCTCAGCATATCTCCGTCACCATGATTCCACCCCAAGTGTCGGTCATACAGTATTGTCGTGATATAGAAACTCAATATCTCGGGGCCGCAGTCGGTTGCCGCGGACAAACTCCTCATCTCCCGGCGGCCGCTCATCTTTGGAATTGCTGGTGAGCATGCTTTGGATGCTCATGCATACACTCTCTGCGCTTTGCACGGGGCTCCATCCTTGTGTATCGAGTAAATCGAGACATATGAAGCCATTCGAGTAAATATGGGGGTGGATAGGTACAGGACGATCGGGCTTCATATCAAATGTGACTTCAGGCGGTTCTACAGCAAGGGAGGGTCAGCAACTCTACCTGGTAACGAGCGCCGCAAAGGGGGACTAGGAATGGGGAAGAAATACCAATGGGATAGGACTGTGGAAAAGCAAATCTCAAGCGGTAAGTCTGATTCTGATAAAGCGGATTTGTATCCAGGACACGGATATCAAAAGTCCATTCTTTCAAGCTGTCGCCATCCACGAGTTCGATGCCGGGCGGTAGACCGGACCTTTCGATCTGCAGTGGGGTAGGAAGTCAGCTTCATGGATTCTGCAGACGGGCGCGAGTGGGTGATACATACCTTTTGACGCTCCTTGGCCACTCGCTTCTCCCTCATATGTGTCGCCATGGTTGCGATGCAGAAAAATGAGCCGGGCGGTATGCGAGTTGTGAAGGCGAAAGAAGGACGGAATATGGCTGGCAGACGAGACGCCGCATAACAGCCAGGCCGAGTGCAGCCAGGGAAATTTGGCGGTAGCGTCAAACGGGTCGTTGCAGGCACCAGCCCCAAACAGACCAGAATGCTGACATGAACCTGCTGGTCGGCATTGACATGACATCTGGAGGCACTGGGCTTGGCCCTTGGCGGAACACCACTGGCGGATTGGACCCTGGGCTGTCTGGGAAGGGGCTGTGTGGGCTGTGCAGTGTGCACACCAGACCAGACTTGACAGCATGAAGATTGATGTCCCGCTGTACGGAGTAGGTCTGGTGCATGTGCGTGCCCGGGAAGTTGATACTCGGTGCCAGGCGCCTGCAGACTAGCACATGCACCAAATGACTCCAGATGTCGAACATTGAATGCTCACTGCCTGGCTCTCTGGCCAAGCTCTATGTACAAGTACTTATGTACACCCACTGTACATGGGGTAGGGCTGACTGACATGTGGGCACTGAATCTGAACCTGGACAAACCACCAAGGAAAACCCGTCACGATGATGCAGCAACATGTAATACGGAGTAGTATGTCGCAGGGTCGCCCTCGTTTTAGCCCAGAGCAGCGTCTACGTACCTAGGTAGTTACTATGTAAACACCTAGGAAAGGGCACGGCATCAGTTTTCTTTGTCAACAGTCGCAACTTGGCTTTTGTGACCAGTGCATGTTTCATAGGATAGATAGGTTCAGAGCAGACACTGCCCATGACAGTTGAGTCTTAATGTTGCGAGACTTCCATGTCCAACATTGAACATTGAATGGGCCTTGGTTGGCCCTGTCGAGGCCTCCAGTGGCTGCCAGTGGCTCGCACTCGGTTGACTCGATTGAGCCCAATATTGACCAGACGGAACCAAGCCTCGTTGCCCTGGCCGACAGGTCAACTGTTGCATGTGCTCACTGCACCTAGGCCCAACTGCCCCTCACTCAGCCACCAAGCTCCTCCAGTCCTTTCAGTACACCAATCCAACATTGAACCAGTTGACCTTTTTGGTCGTCTCGCGTCTCACCTTCAGCCCTCAGCCACACCCTTCATCGAGCATCGAGTCCATCGCGACAGGTTGGCTCAACTCGTCTCGTACAGGGGATTCAACCTGCCTCCTCTCATTGCTCTCTCCACCCAAACTTTTGGGGTGCTCCACTGATGGCCTCAAGCCCAAGCATTGGACCATGCGGACTATTAGACCCTTGTCCCCATTTGAGAGCAGCCCTGTTGCGACGAGTCCTGGCCCTCCCCCGGGAACCATCATTTGCTTGGGCGCCTGCACAGTGTGCTGAGTGCCGAGTGGCTGACTCTGCTGAGTGCAGTGCTGCTCAATGAGGGGCCTCCATGTCGCCTCTCGAAGTCAACTGCCTGGCTCGTATTTATTAGTTTCAGCTCAGCCGCCTCGTCAGAACCCGCCATCACCACCGACCAAAAAGTTTCAATACATAGCTCAACCTTGTTGCTGTGTCGTCCTGGGCTCGCCCGTCAGTTCTCTCGACTCTTCGCCCTCAGCCCGCGAGCTGCCGTGATTCCTTAATCCCCTTGATCCTTCCAAACTCGAACCGCATTTGCGACCAGGCTGCATTCTCGTGGGCACGCGATACCCCGCCATCCAACAAAGATGAGTTGTAAGTCGCATTCGGCCTGGGCTTGGGCCTCAGAAAATCAAGCAGCAACCGGCCACTCTGCTTCTACTTGGGCGCGTAAATTAGCGTCATTCGTAAATTGCGACCATATTTCTGACTTTGGTATTGTTTCTCCTCAGTCGCGGGGATGCTTAACCGGCTACACGGCCAGCCCGAGAGCTACGACAAGAAGTACGTTTTGACCCCGCAGCTCATGCTGTTCCCCGACCGTCATCTTCAGCCTTCTTCTAACAGCGCTCGTCTCTGCTCGCCCACAGATCCAAGTATAAATTTGGTCGAACTCTAGGCGCCGGCACCTACGGGGTTGTTCGCGAAGCAGACGGCCCCTCGGGCAAGGTAGCCATCAAGATCATCTTGAAGAAGAATGTCAAGGGAAATGAGAAGATGGTATACGACGAGCTCGACATGCTCCAGAGGCTAAAACACCCGCATATCGTCAAGTTTGTTGATTGGTTCGAGTCGCGCGTAAGCTCCCAAGACGGACGAGGAAGGGTATGGGGCCAGTTTTGCTAACAGCATATGCTTGGTGTAGGACAAGTTTTACATCGTCACTCAATTAGCTACTGGCGGGGAGCTGTTCGACCGAATTTGCGACCAGGGCAAGTTCACAGAGCTCGACGCTTCTCAAACCATCAAGCAAATCATGACCGCTGTCGACTATCTGCATGATAATGACGTTGTCCATAGAGGTGCGTCATCTTGGTCGTCTGGATACGCCAAATGTCTTCCCCCCCCTGTTCTTTGGCCTCTTGTCCGCTAACTGAGTTCCTGGTAGATCTTAAACCGGAAAATCTTCTCTATGTTACACGCGAGCCGGATTCCGATCTTGTGCTTGCAGACTTTGGCATCGCAAAGACCTTGGACAGCAAGGAGGAGACCTTGAAGACCATGGCTGGATCTTTCGGTTACGCTGCGCCTGAGGTGATGGAGCAAAAGGGCCATGGCAAGCCTGTAGACATGTGGTCCATGGGCGTCATCACATATACCCTGCTTTGCGGGTACTCCCCATTCCGCAGTGAGAACCTTCGCGATCTACTACGTGAATGCACTGCCGCACCAGTACCGTTTCACGAGCGCTACTGGAAGGACGTCAGTCCGGATGCCAAAGATTTCATTATGGGTCTTATTGTTCCAGAACCCGAGAAGCGTTGGACTAGCAAGGTACATGCCCATGGCTCACTCCGTTCTTAATATTCCCAACGCTTTGCTCACACCAAAACAGGAAGCCCTGGGCCATATCTGGTTGAGCGGCAAGAACGCCACCGATCACAACTTGCTGCCCGAGCTCGAGGCCTACCGAAGAAGAGCACGCCTTCGCCGTGTCATTGAAATTGTCAAGCTCCAGAATCGCATTGCCAAGCTCAAGGAACACGAGGAGGACCCTTCCGAGTCCGATATGGGCGATGCCCAAGGCGCATCTGATAATCACAAGGGTGACGGCTCCAGGTTGCATGCCCTGGGACTATTTGCCCTTCGTGAAGCCAAACAGAAGCAAGAAAGTCTCCAAGTGGAAGAGGAATTAGAGAAGGAGAGCAGAAGGCGCAGTTTTAGCAACGCCTAGTCTGCTGTGATACCAAAGTAGGCAACGACTTCGTGGCAGAATATCGCTTACTGACTATTTTCGCTGCCCCCAAATTCGAAGGCTGCTACATGTTCTTTGATACTGACAGTTGTCGAAACATGTAGATTTTCCTCAAGTTTGACCGGTCGTCATTTATGTACTTGCGGGGGATTGCCTTGTTCGGGATTTTCTTTTTAAAGGTAGCTCTTTTATTGACAGGTGGCAAATGAATGATTGACATGTGTGTGTTGTGCTCAAGACACTCATGGATATATGTCTCCAACATAAGGGATCAGGATGGCACTCAGCCGTCACAGTATCCATATACAAAACTGCGCGAGACAGTGTAAAATATAGAGACCATCTTTAGCAGTTTGGGGTTTTTTGATGCCCTGCGGGTCAGATATCATTGCTTCGTAGTCGAACTTCTGGTGTGCTTGTGGGAGTCTGGAATAGCACGAGTGAGACGGCGAGGGTGATGTGAAGCTGGAAGACGAGCCTCAACCGACATCTTGACTGTCTGATGGAAAGTGGTATGGAAAAGTTGACTGGTTATTTTCAATCTATGTATTCTTTTCTGCCCACCCTCTCTCGCACACCCCTGCCTTGATCGGCTTTCGGCACGGTCCGCAGGTGGATCTTGAACATTGTAAAACATCCAGACATCTGGACCGACATTCTGAGCGACCGGAAGCAGTGGCGGGCGCCTGTCGAAATTATTTGCTGAGTCTACTCATCGGTTGCCGCTCGAGGCATGAATATGCTCGCCCTTGCGTCGATGGCATCTCTAATAACAGCGGTGGTCGTAGCCGCGCACGAGGGTGGTGATGGCTCCCGGAGATTAATTAACACGATGCTGCTCCCACCCCTTCGCCTGTTGACAACGTCCTTGGATATACATAGGATAGGCACCTTGCCAACGGTCCAAACTCGGCTCGTCAACTCCCATGCCCGCGTAGTAGGTCGGCCGCCAGCGTCAACTACACTTTCATCCCTTGGCCAGGGTCCTCTACGCCGTCCACCTGAGGCGATAGCAAACCTCGCTGCATGCTAGAACCTAGACTCCCCTATTCCTATAGCAACCTAATACGTGCCCTCTGTTTGATCTGCTTAGGACTTGGTGCGTCGTTGCACAAGCCTTCATAATGACGATGGTCTTATATATGTTTCCATGTATGAACTTCGACCAAGAGGACTTGAGTTTTAAGCTGCAATACGAATATAGCTATGAAATCACTTGCTTGTCCAACCTCCGCCGTTCTCTAACTAATCACTCATGTATGTTGATATTGCCAAGGGAAAAAAAGGATATATTATTTCGACAGCAGTCTGTTTCGTGCAAGTCCATCGCACACGAACCATATATTCATACCCATCATTATCGTCATGCCTGGTGTACAACCGTCAAGAAGAAAACATGAAAGCAACTTAGCCTCCCGTACGCCAGGTCAATGCGCCGCCGGTCGCCACCCCTTTTTATGACAAAATAGTTCACAAAAGTACAATATATACAGAAAAATAATACAGGTCGCCTTTTCACTCCATGTTTTTTTAACCCGCCATGTCAGCGAGCGCGTTCTCTCTCAGTCTCTCGTACCGCTCAGCATCGAAACGCGCACGTTTCCAGCCACATGCTCGTAACCGCTCAATGCGGGCTCTGGCATCCAGTGCTTTCAATTCGTGGTTTGTGTGAGCTGGGACGCTGGGTATGTGGCACGCGGC